GTATGATAGGTTGCCAAGAGGAGAAGTATGGAGGTGTTTGAGGGAAAGGAATGTGTCTGAAAAGTACGTCAGATTAGTGCAGGATATGTATGAGGGGGCAACAACGCAAGCAAGGTCGAACGTTAGACTGACAGAAAAATTCTCTGTCGCAGTTGGACTACATCAAGGGTGTTCTCTGAGTCCGTACATCTTTGACCTGATAATGGATGTTTTGGGCCAAAACATCATCGCACAGCCCCTTGGGATATGCTGTTTGCGGATGACGTAGTCTTAATTGATACCACCAGAGAAGGGTTAGAAAGAAAACTTGAAGCGTGGAGAAAAGAAATGGAGGATAGAGGGCTAAAGATCAGCCGTAAGAAAACAGAATACATGGTTTTTAACGGAGAAGAGGAAATTTGAGAAATTATGTTATTGGGCGAAAAGGTGAAAAAGGTCAAAAACTTTAAATACCTTGGTTCGCATTTAACATCAGACGGAAATCTCGATGTCGAAATAAACCAGAGGATAAAATCTGGGTGGAATAACTGGAAAAACGTGTCAGGAGTGCTATGCGTCAAGAAGATCAGCACAAGAGTGAAAGGCAAAGTTCATAAAACGGTAGTAAGACCTGCAATGATCTATGGTGCGGAAGCGTGGCCTATTAAAAAGTCACAGGAGAAGAAACTGGACGTAGCCGAAATGAAGATGTTGAGGTGGATGTGTGGAGAAACAAAACTTGATAAGATCAGGAATGAAAGAATTAGAGGGACAACTAAGGTGGTAGAAGCAGGAGCGGAGGCTTCAATGGTATGGTCACGTTAAAAGAAGAGATGGACAATACCTGGGAAATAGAATCTCTGATATGATAGTGGAATGTAGAAGAAGGAGGGGGAGACCAAAGAGACGATGGAAAGATTGTGTACAAGATGATCTAAGAAGCAAAGGAATGGATCTAAATAGAGGTAAATATGAAAACCGAGGCGTTTGGACACGGCTGACTAAGAAGGAGGAGAGGCGGAGAGAATGAAAGAGAATTTTCTCTAGGATTAATCGTATTCAGAGGCGATTCCTGGATTTCAGGTTGGAGACTACGGGCGTATTAAGGATTTTTATGTGTAAGGCTCTTGACAAAATATCTTGCTGGAACTAATTTTGTCGAATTAATTAAGAGATTAATATCCTTTAAAGAAATTCTAAATGATTCTCTTTCACCTATACACGGGTATGTTCAACTCGGGTATAAAAATTAATTCGAATTAATGGATGCCATTATTTTATATGTGTATGTATATATATATATGTGTGTGTGTGTATATATGTGTGTGTGTGTGTATGATAGCATCCATCCCGTCCACCAGACATAAAACCCTATTCAGTTTTACCTTGAGGCTTACATTGTCTATGCTCCTTTCCGGCGCCACTTAAAGGTAATACTGAATCCTTCCCCACGAGACACTTTCTCTAAGTACTCAGCACTTGGTAAGGGGATGTAGCTCAAGTGGTAGAGCGCTCGCTTAGCATGTGAGAGGTACGGGGATCGATACCCCGCATCTCCAATTCAAAACTTTTTATGCCGAAGAGAAGGAATAAGGACAGAACAGAGAGGAGGAGAGAAAGTGCTTATCTCTATGTATGTATAGAGATATACATCAAACAGCATCTCACATCTCTCTCTCTATACATACATATATGTGTCTGTACACACACACACACATATATATGAATATATAAATATATATATATGTATATATATGTGTGTGTGTATTTCATTCATTTATGAAACAGAATTTGGCATCCCAAACAAATCTCCAAATGAAACGGTCACATCTCTCTCTATGTATACATATATGTGTCTGTACTCATATATATCTGTGTGCGTGTGTATTTCCCTCATTCGTGAAACAGAGTTTGGCATCCCAAACAAATCTAATGAAACTGTCCTGCGCCTTCCTGACTAACTAAATCCTGCTCATCTAGTAACCCGCGCGACAGACGATGCGGTTATTGGTAAGCGTGTTGCAGATTTCTATCTGGGATGTGGTCAGGAGCTATAAAATAAGCAAAGTAGAGATTCCAGAGTTTTTCTTTGGTCGCAGTTCCATCTAACTGGAAATGCTATCTCTGCCGTTTGTTCAGTAGGACTAAACTTCCGCCAGACACAGCTTCATCGTAACCCAATATATGCAATTTCGCGTGAGTGCACACACAAATCGCCCGCATGCAAGTGTATGTGTGTGTGTGTGTTCATGCAAATACGTCGCCCGCATATACATATACATGTTTACATATATTTATACATATATACATACGCACATATGCATATATGTGTGTGTGTTTGTATTTATATATATATGTATACTTATATGAATATAAGTAAGTGTATAAGTATCATACATCATCTCTAATCTCTTTCCCTCGCCTCGCTTTCACTATCCCCCTTACTCTCTTTCTTTTTCTCTCTCTTTCAAATTTTAGTGACCTTGATTTAAGCGTGAAACATATATGTATAATAATGGCACCTATTCTGCCCAAAAAGACATAAAATACATGTGTGTGTGTTTTTCATTCATTTATGGAACAGAGTTTGCATCCCAAACAAATCTCTTAATGGAATGGTTAGGTGTGTGTGCATTCATGCAAACACATCGCCCGCACGCGTGCATGAGCACATATATGTTTAGATATATGTATACATATATACATACGCACACATATATGTGTATATATTTATATATATATATGTATGCATACATATACGAATATATGTATGTGTATAAGTATTATAGATCATCTCTAATCTCTTTCCCTCTCTCTATCTCTCTCTTTCATCCCGATTTCACTACCTCCCCCCCTTCTCTCTCTTTCTCTTTCTCTCTCTTTCCACTTCTCTCCGCTGACATCTTAACATAAAGATCGAATTGATATGATCATCAAAGTTTCATCAAAGAATACAACATAAATGATTAAAAGGAGTTCTACTGACCTTAATTTAAGCGTAATATATATGTATATATATATCTATATGAAACTCTGTTCAGTTTTACCTAGAGGCTTACATTTTCTATGCTCCTTTCTGGCGCCACTTAAAGGTAATACTGAATCCTTCGGCACGAGACACTTTCTCTAAGTGCTCAGCACTTGGTAAGGGGATGTAGCTCAAGTGGTAGAGCGCTCGCTTAGCATGTGAGAGGTACGGGGATCGATACCCCGCATCTCCAATTCAAAACTTTTCAGGCCGAAGAGAAGGAATAAGGACAACGGAGGAGACGAGGAGAGAATGAAAGAGAATTTTCTCTAGGATTAATCGTATTCGGAGGCGGTTCCTGTTTCAGGTGGGAGACTACGGGCGTACTAAGGATTTTTATGTGTAAGGCTTTTGGTAAATATCTTGTTGGAGCTAATTTTGTTGAAAGGAGAGATTAGAAACATTTTTCTCTTTCACCTATACTTGGGCATGTTCAA